TTGCCGCTGGGACAGCCATTCTCTCCGGCCGACTGCTGGGCCCCCGTGGAGCGGGGTGAGTGCGGCGAGCAGCGGGTGGACTGGTACTACGATGCGGCCCGGGGCGAGTGCCATGTGTTTGCGCACGGAGGCTGCGAGGGCGGCCGCAACCGCTTCGAGACGTACGAGGAGTGCCGGGTGTCGTGTCAGCGCGAGGGGCTGGGTGTGTGCTCGCTGCCGGCTGTGCAGGGCCCCTGTAAGCTCTGGGAGCCGCGCTGGGCCTACAACAGCCTCATGAAACAGTGTCTGGCCTTCGTCTACGGCGGCTGCCATGGCAACAAGAACAACTTCCGCACGCGTAGAGAATGCGAAGCCACCTGCCCGCAGCCCAAGCGGCGTCCGTGTAAAAACTGCCGGCCGAAAGGAAAGATCGTGGCGAGTCTTTGCCGCAGCGACTTTGCCATCGTGGGAAGGCTCACAGAGCTAATCGAGGAGCTGGACTCGGGAATCGCACGGTTCCACCTGGAACAGGTGCTGCGTGATGAGAAGATGGGCCTGCAGCTCTTTGAAACACAACACCTGGAGGTGCTGCTGGCACACATGGACTGGAGCTGCCCATGTCCCAACATAACGCAGCACCGTGAGCTCCCCCTGCTGGTGATGGGCGAGGTGCAGGACGGCACGGCCGTGATCCTGCCCCACAGTTATGTCAGACCCATATCTGACCGACGCCTCAAGAAGATCCACGAGGTTCTGGGCAAGAAGACTTGTGAGATGCTGCAGAGGTTCCAGGACTGAGCTGGCATGGATCTGGTGGTGTGGCATGACCCGGGTTCAGTGCGAGGACACATGCATATATTTTCACACACTACACAGGTGATCTTTAAGCCTGAGACTGCACTAGTTCTCACATATCACTCCTCATGTTCAGATCTGCCATGCTGATGATGCACATGCAAACAAGCAAAGTGTGCAAAAAGTGTTGCAAACTCTCATTGCATCAATGTGGTACATTTGAATGGTGCAGGAGGTGATTTTCAGTGAATAATTAATAATTCAGTGAATAAATTTAGTCTGTTCTTTACACATAACAAAATACAACTTCATATAACTTGTAATATAGGACATGACTATGGAGCGAGGCAATAGTATCGGTTATTCCTAAAGAGGGTAAAGGGAGTGTAGTGCATTTAGCAAAAGACTGGAAGATATAATACCAGAATTAGTGGATTTAGATCAGACAGGCTTTGTATGTGATAGACAGACACAAGATAATATTAGGTGGGTGCTGCATTTAAGTGATTATATCACTAAAGAAAATGTCAGCGCAGTAGTAATCAGTTTAGATGCCGAAAAGGCATTTGACTCAGTTCACTGGGAGTACCTGTATTTGACATCAAGAAGATTTGGTTTTGGCCCAGTTAAGACCTTGAGCATGCTGCTGTAACCCAGAATATATAGCAAGGTGGAAGGATTTGGAGATTTTGCTGTGTTGGCTCGCAAAACCTAATACAAACAATATATTAATAGTTTAATAATCAATGGACTAAGGTTCCTTTTAGAATCTGGTTTAAAGAATGTAAATCGCCAGTACCTGAAAGACAGGCTAGATTATTGAGATGGGTTGCCTTTGATCCCGACTTTAAACCAGCAAGGATTCTGGTATAGGTGTGGCATCACTTCTTTTAGTTCAGTTTCATCAAAGGGAGAGAGAATTTTACAGAGAATTCTGCTGGCGGAGTCTTATCAGATATGTTGTATCATATGTTGTATGTAAGTTAAAGTCTGCCCGCACTGGTGAAATGGGAAGGGGTCTTTGCTGGAGGAAATGTGGGGAACAGCTGGCAGATCATGTAACAGAAGTAAGACGTAATTTATCTGGTGATGGAATTGACTGCTCTTTCTCAACAATTAGTAGCTCATTTGATGGTGAAAGATAAGTACCTTTTAAAGATATTATTAGCAGCTTGCAAGAAAGCTATAACACAAAAGACTGCATGATTGGTCATTGTGACCAGTGTCCAAAACATGGAGGGAATGACTTTTTAATTAAATTTACAGATAGACAAATATTTGTTAATGCCTTCATGACATGTTTATTGACTATTGTATAATCTGACATATATTTCCATCAAGGTGACTAATGTAATGATGCATAGGTGACCAAGCAGTTGTTCAGTTCTAATGTTATAGTATTTCTTTCCAAAAATAATGTTTAAAAATACAGGACATGACTGTTATGATACTATCATGGTGCTTATATGAGCTTTAGGAGCTTGACGGTCAGAGCGAACATTTCTCATCACTCATCCATCTGCTTCTGTGTGAGAAATAAACTCATACAGGTGAGTGAATGATGACAGAACTTAGATTTTTTCGCGGTGAACGGTTCCTTAAATATTGTTCCTGCAGCGAGGTATCGCTTTTTATTTATTTGTTTATTTTCTGTTTCATATTTCCTATAAGTAGTTTATTCGATTTCTATAATTAATAATTGTTTATATCATTCTCATTATTCATAAGAACGATGAAAATGTTATTCGATGCAAAAACTGACAGCCAAAAGAAAGAAAAATGTTTGTATGTCTTCACAAGTTTTTCAATAAAAACGTTTAATGTAACCTCATCTTTGATATGTTGGCTTCGTTATGTTACATTGCTTCTGTATTTCCTCACTTTTATGCCAAAGTACACAAAGCATCTGCTGAACATTTACTGTACATGATGCACAAGTTTTTATTATTAATAAATAGGCAGCAGCAGCACATAGAAAATAAGACAAAAAGCACAGCTCTGTTTCTGGGGGTAAACACTATCACTCAGCCTTTTCATTGAAAGCATTTGATTTGTTCCCCCCTTATTCCATGTAGTTACAGGGTAAATACAACATTTGCGGGCTGTAAATTAAAGTGGTGCTTTGCTCCCTCCTTGTTCCATGTAGTTACAGGGTAAGTGGCTACAACAAATTGCTCTGAAACGATTGTTTATACATTAGGTCATACATACATACATTATATATCAGGTAATGTATCAATAAACATGGTGGACTGTTTTATTTAATGCAAATATTGTTTGCAATTTACTATAGGCCTACTGCTGGGTTAAATTAACCCAAAATGGGTTTTCAAATGAAAATCACACACAATATGACAACAGTAACAACACAGGCAACAGATAGCCTAATAAAAGATTAAAATGTATTACACCAGTTCAGAAAAAAAGCAAAGCAACTCCATACTTACACAGATTATACAGTTAAACCAAATTCTTTTGAAAAGCTTGTTTAAGGATAGATTTTGTTCAATTTGTTCATGTTTTTCACCCACTGACTTAATGACTAATTGATTAACTAGTAATGACTAGTTAAACTATTATGGCCAAACCATCACGCCAATAAACACAGTAATAAACACTGAAAGTCAAGATTAAACTGTATTATAGCGAACTGACAGGATTTTACTGTCTTTGATTTACCGTTTTGATCCACATCCTCAAGCACATAACTTAGTTCAGCTCCCGGTTTTACCGCTCATCAGTCGCTGCTCAATGTTGTTAGAACATACTCGGACAAAACCCTCCAGTTTTAAAGGAACACACTCCAGACAGTTTCAAAGTTGTCCCTTGTCTGCGCTTCGATTCGTTTTCTCCTATTTTCCACACATGTTCCCGTCTTCAGCACCGCAGTCACGGATTTCGTCGCACACAGAGCCGTTCACGTTTGCACTCACGTGACTTGCTCCAT